ACATACATGCTTTTTGAAAGCATAAAATTGCACGCGTTGCCGTACTTATCATTCTCTAACTCAAAGGGAACTTACAGGAAGTATGCGTTTAACAGTTCTGAAACGCACAAGCATGTTCCTGATCTTGAATACATATCAATCTGTTGACCAAATACGAAGCTCATAAGATTAACAGAAAAAGTGTGACAAAATTATTTGTAGGCGAACGGACAAACAAGATAAATGCCATATAGCTCCGCTCCCGAATAGAATTATTATACACTAAACTAAACTTACATAAAAAGTCGTAAACAGTAGTATTAAACACCTACGTGCGGGGCAAGTATTATAATCTGCGTTGTAGTACTGCGTTGTTTCACATTTACATAAACCAGAAGCACAAACAAAGGGTGAGTAACAACTGCTTACTGCTGTCGAACATGGTTCACTGTATCTTCCAACTGTAAGAAAAAAGCAATCATGATTTAATTGTTTGATATTGAATTCAGTTTTTGATAATTAACCATCCTTTTCATGCATTTCAATTAAAACATTTTTACCATTTTCCAAATTGAAAATTCCTGAAAAAATCACTCTTATAAAATGAATGTAAAGAATTATTAGTTACTGGATATTATCTGAAAAATGAATTTCTAAAAATCTTGTAGGAAACACATTTTATGTAGATACATTGCAAGCGCTTTTGGAATTTATTTGCCTTTCACCATTTCACCCGTCAATATACAATATACTCTGTGATATGTGCAAGCAGTGACACAGTTTGCTCTATTGCTTTTAAAGTTTAAAAAGAAACGAAATGTGTGCACTTATTGCTTTTTCTAAGATTTTAAAAGAAATACACGTGCTTACTTTAAACCTGAAATTGCAGTCGCTGTCGTACTAAGCATGCTTTTAATCACAGGCAGAAAGGAAGAAGGTGTTAGACAGTTATAAAAGTATATGTTATAACGTATTTTTATCAGTTTGCTGACCGAACAAAAAGACCGCAAGTTGTACAAGAAGGTGTAATGCAAATATTTGTAGAATAAAGTAGACGAAAAAAGTAAATGCTATATAGCAATACTCTTATATTTGTATTATTAAACAATTTACAAATATAGCAAAATAGTTTAATATGAAGCCGTAATGAATCAAAACATGTACATGTACAAACGTCTATACTTCAATATACTGCACAAATCAAATAGGGAGCTCATACGGTTAACAGAAAATTGTAACTTAAATACATGGCAATTATAAAGACGACCGGAAGTTAAAGATAAATTCCAATGCACTCCTACAGTAGTATTATTACACACTAAAGTACACTTACTAATGCATTTTAATATAAGCCATAGTTCATATATGTAAATTAAAAATGGATGTATCTACAAAAAGTGTGAATAATTAGTACACTTTATTGGGTTTTATACATATTGATTTCAAACTTTTCCAATTGTGACATCCGGTTGACATTTAAAGATATATCTATATCCAGAAATTCTGATAATCTGTTTATTTTCCTATTTACATGTATTTTCTTTTGCTCCATCTTTAGTGAATTTAACGCTCGACGAGAGTAAGTCTGATAACGTCTCCTAACACAATGTGATAATCGCTGATAACTGCTCATTGTCAAGTCCCTGATTATGTCAACACAAGTCTAAAAAATTGGATACGGGAATCATGTTGCGACGGAGCAAGGGTATATAGAAAAACTAAAGGCTCTAGAGAGCCTGTGTCGCTCACCTTGGTCTATGTGCATATTAAACAAAGGACACAGATGGATTCATGACAAAATTGTGTTTTGGTGATGGTGATGTGCTTGTAGATCTTACTTTACTGAACATTCTTGCTGCTTAAAATTATCTCTATCTATATTGAACTTGGCCCGGTAGTTACAGTGGAAAATATTTTGTAAATTTAACAAAAATTTACAAAATTTATGAAAATTGTAAAAAAATGACTATAAAGGGCAATAACTTCTTAAGGGGTCAATTGACAATTTTGGTCATGTTGACTTATTTGTAGATCTTACTTTGCTGTACATTATTGCTGTTTACAGTTTATCTCTATCTATAATCATATTCAAGATAATAACCAAAAGCTGCAAAATGTTCTTAAAATTACCAATTCAGGGGCAGCAACCCAACAACATGTTACCTGATTGGTCTGAAAATTTCAGGGCAGATAGATCTTGACCTAATGAACAATTTTATCCTCATCAGATTTACTCTAAATGCTTTGGTTTCAGAGATATGAGCCAAAAACTGCATTTTACCCTATGTACTATTTTTTAACCATGTCGGCCATCTTGGTTTGCGAGCGGGGTCATCGGACACATTTTTTAAACTAGATACCCTAATGATGATTGTGGACAAGTTTGGTTAAATTTGTCTTAGTAGTTTCAGAGGAGAAGATTTTTGTAAAAAATTACAAAAATTTACGAAAAATGGTTAAAAATTGACTATAAAGGGCAATAACTCCTTAAGGGGTCAACTGACCATTTTGGTCAAGTTGACTTATTTGTAGATCATAATTTGCTGAACATTATTGCTGTTTACAGTTTATCTCTATCTATAATAATATTCAAGATAATAACCAAAAACGGCAAAATTTCATTAAAATTACCAATTCAGGGGCAGCAACCCAACAACGGGTTGTCTGACTCATCTGAAAATTTCAGGGCAGATAGATCTTGACCTAATGAACAATTTTATCCTCATCAGATTTGCTCTAAATGCTTTGGTTTCAGAGATATGAGCCAAAAACTGCATTTTACCCTATGTACTATTTTTTAACCATGTCGGCCATCTTGGTTTGCGAGCGGGGTCATCGGACACATTTTTTAAACTAGATACCCTAATGATGATTGTGGACAAGTTTGGTTAAATTTGTCTTAGTAGTTTCAGAGGAGAAGATTTTTGTAAAAAATTACAAAAATTTACGAAAAATGGTTAAAAATTGACTATAAAGGGCAATAACTCCTTAAGGGGTCAACTGACCATTTTGGTCAAGTTGACTTATTTGTAGATCATAATTTGCTGAACATTATTGCTGTTTACAGTTTATCTCTATCTATAATAATATTCAAGATAATAACCAAAAACGGCAAAATTTCATTAAAATTACCAATTCAGGGGCAGCAACCCAACAACGGGTTGTCTGGCTCATCTGAAAATTTCAGGGCAGATAGATCTTGACCTAATGAACAATTTTATCCTCATCAGATTTGCTCTAAATGCTTTGGTTTCAGAGATATGAGCCAAAAACTGCATTTTACCCTATGTACTATTTTTTAGCCATGTCGGCCATCTTGGTTCGCGGGCGGGGTCATCGGACACATTTTTTAAACTAGATACCCTAATGATGATTGTGGACAAGTTTGGTTAAATTTGTCTTAGTAGTTTCAGAGGAGAAGATTATTGTAAAAAATTACAAAAATTTACGAAAAATGGTTAAAAATTGACTATAAAGGGCAATAACTCCTTAAGGGGTCAACTGACCATTTTGATCAAGTTGACTTATTTGTAGATCATACTTTGCTGAACATTATTGCTGTTTACAGTTTATCTCTATCTATAATAATATTCAAGATAATAACCAAAACGGCAAATTAAAATTACCAATTCAGGGGCAGCAACCCAACAACGGGTTGTCTGACTCATCTGAAAATTTCAGGGCAGATAGATCTTGACCTAATGAACAATTTTATTCTCATCAGATTTGCTCTAAATGCTTTGGTTTCAGAGATATGAGCCAAAAACTGCATTTTACCCTATGTACTATTTTTAAGCCATGTCGGCCATCTTGGTTCGCGGGCGGGGTTATCGGACACATTTTTTAAACTAGATACCCTAATGATGATTGTGGACAAGTTTGGTTAAATTTGTCTAAGTTGTTTCAGAGGAGAAGATTTTTGTAAAAAATTACAAAAATTTACGAAAAATGGTTAAAAATTGACTATAAAGGGCAATAACTCCTTAAGGGCATCCGATACAGTTTCAAGGGAGTTAACTCTTTGCGCGACGTTAAGCGTTCGAATTCCCGCAAAACGTCACTTTCTGCGGGACGTTATGCGTGTAATTTTCCCTAATTAGAACGATATATTGTACAATCGATGCACCAATTTATGTTTCTCATGCATGCTAACTTCTACACCATTAAGATTAGTGCATTTGATTCTAACAGGATAAAAGTTTAATAAAATTATTAGAAATTAAACACATTCCCAGGTAGCACAAACACATTTTATTGATATTTTTAAAATATATTGCAAAATGTCACAAAAATATCATTCAGAAATATTGTTTTGACGGGAAATGTATGGCTGTACTAATGTGAATAGCATATTTTCAGCTGATGTTTGTTCTGAATGTTTAAAGAGCATTTTTTTTAAATATTTTGATTTTATATTTAAATAACATAATTTTGATATCATTCAGTGTCAATTGAAAATATCCAGACAACATATATATCAAACGTTATCCAAAAATATCCTTTTCATGTCTAAAATATGTTTTATGGATGTCTACCAAATGTTTTTAAAATATCAGAGGCAAGTTTAGGTAGAAATATCTCTTGAAAATGTAAATTAAATATTTCAACAATGTTTTATGGATGTCTTCCCAATATTCTTAAAACATCTTGGTTAAATGTTTGTAAAAAACATTATATAAATATTCAAAAAACGTTTTATGTTCAGGCCAACTCTCAGCTTGCAAATATATCGTGCATATTTAGACTAACATTTATCAGCTCTCCTCCAGGGCACCTGTTTCTTGTTCTATCATTATATGTAGTGTAATGTAGACTGTTTATTTTTTTATTTTGTTTTGCAAGGCGATTGTTTTTCTCCGACTTGTGGAAATTTGAATTTTTGTTTGATATTTTTCAAACTCTTTCAAACAATTAAGAGCAGTCAAAGCATGACATTGTATACTGCCAACACAAAAGCATTGATAGAATAGCTTATTCATATGACAGGACGACTGTCAATGAATATTGAATTTTCCTGAATAGCATTTTAACATTTTATTAATTATTCTGTATCTTCTACTGCGAGCCTCCTCTTCTTGTTAGCCTTCTGAAGAAGAAATAATACATAAATGTTTAAACTCAATTGAGATTTAAGCTTTTAAGCCGATATCAAGTCAAACATTATGAAAACAATTGTATTATAATAATTAGATTACAGGTATGCCGTTATTTTGATTATGATATAGATTCAGGAAACAGAACTATGTCAAAAAACGTTCTAACTAAATAACTAAATAAAGAATTCAAGTGAAAAATACAAAGTCAAATCTAAATCAAAGTGACACTTAGCATTGACAGTAATATTAAACATTGTATGCATATATATCTGCGAATTTCAAATCCGATGTAGTATAAAGGATGGCTATTATGTTACTTACTTAAAGTAATTCATTCTGGGCTATCAAATGGTAGAATGCATTTTGTCCCATCTCCATTTCCATGCATTTTGAAGCCAGAATATTTTCAATGACTATTAAAATTCCTTTTGCACTCTGCTTTAATTTGTCTTCTGTAGTTCTCAAATACCAGATCTATAAATTTATATGAGAATGTAAAATTGTATATTAAAAAGAAACTCTACTTCAAGTAATTCATACACGAATCTGTCTGCAAATTTGTATAAGACTTTTTCCGTATGATATTTTTTTCACATTTTACCCCCTTTTTTCACATATACATGCCATTTCATTTTGTTTAAAATATATCTTTTTCACTTTTCCATGATATCCTAATGTTTAATTATAACACTGCATACATATAATTTAAAGAAGTAGCGTCTTCAACTTTTTGTGATATTTACTCCTACAAACTATTCAAATACAGATTTTGTTTTGCCAAAGTTTTGCCGAGGACAAAAAAGCAAGATTCAGTCGAGTCCGTATATCAATTACGATTTTTTTAAATTACAACTTACATGTTTCTTTCTCTTTGAACTGTGATTTTCTCTTTTAGTTTTCTTTGTTTTCACTGCTTTCGGAAGTTACAAATAGACGACAGGAAATAACCTCAAAAATGACCATCCCATTACATTTAGATTTTCTATAATCTTAATTACCATAGCAACTATCTTTGAAATGTGTCCAACATCTGGTTAACCTTATCAGAATGTGTTTGATTAACAGAATGGTTGTATCAAATATCACTCTGTATATATTTGTTTATTATGTTTCATCAATTAAAGTTGAACGAAAAAAGTTATAATAATACACGATTGAGTTGTTCCTCAAAGGTTAAAATTATCAAGGAGATTATCTCATATAACCTCTTTGGAATTATTAAAGCTCTTCTATAAAAATGAGGAGTCATTCATGTTAATGTGATATCTAAAAAATATTTCTTTTTCATATCAAACACTTGCTTCACTCAAATATTACTAACAAACATTTGACAAACATTTCTGTCATACATCTTACAAATATCTAGAAGACATATTATGTTAAAATGTTTATGAAAGGGTCTCCAACTAATATTTTTTAAATAAAATCGAAAAAATATTTTGTTAAGACGTTATTTAAATATTCATTAGATATTACCAGCTTATATTTTTAATTAGGACAAGAAAATTATTTAAATGTTACATCAAAAAGATATTTTATTATACATCAAACCTATGCTTAACGCAAATATTAATCAAAAATGTTTTATAAACATTTCTTTTACACATCTTACAAATATATATTATAATTATAATATAAAAATGTCCATCAGATATTGTTTTAATATTGCAAAGTAATATTTCTTCGACATGAAACTGTTCTCATTTATAAAACTGTCTTTTAAACGTTTAAAAAACATCAGCAAAAAATATTTATTTATTTATTATAAAAAAATATTTACAAAACATGTTTTTATATTTGCAATCAAACATTGGGATGAAACGTTATTAGTAAAATATCATTCACACCTAATTTCTGATGTAAACAAAATGTCTTTAAAATATTTTTGTGAAAATATTTCTGATAAACATATATACAACCAGTCAATAATATCATGAAAATATTTTGTGTTAGCTGGGTTACTGTTTCTGTTGTTCCTCATTTTGAAGTTTCTGTGAGATCTTCAACAAAATATCGTATAGACGTCGCGTACGGTGTTGGTGTTAGTTTTGGTAACGTTAATTTGACGTTATTTTTCATGCATTGTACAAATAACGGATCATAGCGTCGTAAAAATTTCATTTCGTGCAGCTCACCACATAATTTGTATGAGCTGTTTGCTTGACTTGCTACGTATAGAACCGAAAAGCAAAAGCAGCACATATTTCTTAAAGTGCAGATAAATTATATTTATTAATACAGTATCACCTTGGAGCAAAGATATTTTCTCTTTCTTTTGATTGTAACAGGATATTTTTATTTTTTTTAAACCACTGTCTTTACTGCTGCTTTCTTGTATCCGCTTTTGATAGTTTCTGGATAAAAATGTTATTAGTTGAAGCGTTTATTTCATTACCTGTATTTAAGGTTGAGTATGACTATTGTTGAAAGCAAATTCAAAATTTACAACAACAAACATAATTTAATCTGATTTCTTGCCCGGCGCGGGACGTTTGCGCTTTTTCATACCACATTTGCGCTTTTTTTAATGGACATTTGGCCTTCAATTCATATAGGACATTTGCGCTTTTTAAATGTGGACATTTGCGCTTTTTGTATAGGACATTTGCGCTTTTACAAAAGTTTCTTTATGGTTAAAAGTTAAATAGTCTTTCCATATCACATTCGTGTTTGAACAATTTTGCTCTTGTAAGTTGTCCTGACTGGTATTTCGCCCTCATTTCAAATATATATTCTTGTCTCTATTTCTCAATTCTTGACTGAGACGCCTGTTCATTAATATATCGAATTTTAATGTTATAAACTGTTGTACAATGATAAGAAACCATTGTGACATAGACATTTTTTACCGTACCTGTCTCTATAATCTTATACTTTTATGTTTAAGACTGTGTCAATGTTAACTAGCTAACGACAAATACAAGTTGAATTTATTTACGTATCTCATTAAAATGTAGACGATTAAGTCCCAGGTTAGGGGGAGGGTTTGGATCCCGCTAACAAGTTTAACCCCGCCACATTCTGTATGTATGTGCCTGTCCAAAGTCAGGAGCGTGTAACTCAGTGGTTGTCGTTTGTTTATGTGTTACATATTTGTTTTTTGTACATAAATTAGGCCGTTAGTTTTCTCGTTTGAATTGTTTTACATTGTCATTTCGTGGCCTTTTATAGCTGACTATGCGGTATGGGCTTTGTTCATTGTTGAAGGCCGTACGGTGACCTATAGTTGTTAATTTCTGTGTCATTTGGTCTGTTGTGAATCGTACCACGTCTTCTTTTTTATATTAAAGTTAAAAAGCGTAAATGTCTGGTCAATTTACTACAGGTGTATCAAAATTTAAAGCGTAAATGTCAATAGTGTTTGAAGCGCAAATTCCTATCGTGTTATGTGTGAAAAAGCGCAAACATCCTGTGCCCAATTTGCCAACTGCGTATACAAAAGGAAATCTAATCTCAACTATGAACAAGTAAACCGATACAGTATATATATAAAAAATTATAAAAAAAGTTATGGTTTTGCATGAGATATTTTCGACGTAGGGCACTACATGTCAAGTTATACAGACGTAACGTCAAAACGAGTAAAAAAGCATGATGTGACATTACGACTTGACAAAAGTAGTCGCTGACTGTGACGTTAATACTTTCGACATGTAGTCGAAAATGGGTTCAAATAAATTTCTGAAATATATATTTTAATGTTAATATATAGTATTTTTTGTACTATTGTAATTTCAAAAATTCCCCCGCCAAAACTGTATTATATGACTTATCATATTTGTAACAAAATTGTAAAAAACGGCGTTTTGTGACATTTTGACTAGACACAAATAAAAAGCTCGCGTTTATTTTCTTTTTTAATATTTTCCCTTGAAACTTCGACTTATTTTTTTTTTCTTTCACTTGAAAAACATCTTTTCACGTTTAAATACATTTTCAGATCGTAGAAAAAGACCGCAAATGCCTATTGTTTTTCATTAGACACTTAACAAATACGCCGAAACGTCAAAAAACGGCAAGTGTGACATTTCAACGGATTTGATAAAATTAACAATTTAGGACATAATTTAAACAATATCTAATTTTAGAAGACATAGAAAGTTTTATAGGTATTGTATAATTTTGACACTGAAAGGGTGGATATGTAAATTGTGATTGAGTCTGCAGCATTCGTTCGAATTTTGAAGAGCTCTTTATGAAATGAGAGATTTGGGTTTTGTGACAGAAATAAAAATTTCCAATTACCATAAATTCTGCCACGATACTTTGAAATATTGTAGCAAAACTTTTTCTTTTTTTTTTCCTTGTCATATACGGAATAAAATGATATATTAATTTCGGAATAATCTATTTGAATTATTTTTTAATATCACTCTTAACTTCTCTCCTATTCATATTTTTTTTTACAATTTTCGGCTTGGCCACAAAACAAAGTTAACTATTCGTTCTGGTCAGACGCGTCCAGTTAACGATTACGTCATAAATAAAACATACGCCATTAACACAAAAGACTGCTCTTTCTAGGGATATAGCAATCTCAAGACGACTGACCCTTTCGGTGTTACTAATATAATGCATGTCAATTATCACTTGTATTATCATTCATCATACATGATCAAATTTTGATTTGAATTCGATTTTCTGACATTTTATTACAGCGCAGAAAACCAATGATTTTTTTAAAAACTAATACCGAAAGTTTAGGTACATGAAGAAGTAACGGAACAATTTATTTCATTTATTATGTTAAATAAATAATGGTATGCCGCTAATATTTACAATGATACAACTTTTATAAAAGAACAAAGTTCCAATTTTCTTCCGCGTTGCACGTATTTTATCCAACAAAATGCAATAACCAATTTTTTTTTTTTCTTAAAAACTTTTTACAAATATGTTCGAAAAATGGCGGATTGACAGCAAATACAATGCAATTTCCAATATAATTAATATTTCCAAATGGCATAACTCTTTTAAAAAATAGTTGATAGGCACTGATTTTCGAACGTGTCCATACGATATAAGTTTTATAAAAATCTGGCAAGAATTGTACACTTGAAAAATTCAATAACCCCACCCACCCCCAAGCCACCCCCCCCCCCCCCCCCCCCCCCCCCCCCCCCCCCCCCCAAAAAAAGCATTAAATACTGAGGAGAAAGTATATACTAGTACAAGATTATGAATGCTTTAAGAAGTGACTTGCTTTAAAATCGTAATTTGGGAGTTGGGAGAAGAATAAAAAGAAACAAAAACAAACCCAAAGTTATGGAGGATGTATAGGTAACATGTTCAGTCTTCCAGATATTAATTCAACCGTTTTTGCCAAATCAAAAACTCTGAAAAATTCTGAAAAAAATTCATGATTATGGTACAATTTCTCTGTCTGGTAGAAGCCTCCTTTAGCAAATTGAAGATTCTGCTTTATAAGATTTTTTTTTTCTGACAAGTTCCGTTTGCAGGAAAAGACCTCATGTAAGCAATTGTAAGTAACCTTTGTGCTGTGATCTAGTGAAAATAAGTATGTACAAGTGAACTTTATAACTGGTTAAAAACAGTAGGAGCCTCCAAATTTTATTCAACTGTAATCATTGACCCGAATAAAAGTTTGATTTTATTAATACATTTAAATTCTTAAAAGTGTTTAAAACGTGAATAAAGGATTTTAAGGGGTATGATAATGAAACAGCAGTCCACCAAACAAAACAAAACAAAAACATCTAGAGGTCAACATATGGTATAAAACAATACACGAGTGTGTACAGTACATGTACCTGCATGTCAAGTTCTAAATTGCCGCGAGTCTTTAAATTTTAAAAGCCGTAAAAAATATCAAGTCCGTAATAACTTGAGATGTTTCTAACTTGGACCACAAACAGAGAGAGGTATTTATGATTCACATGATTTTATTTCCGAAAACAATATTACCAATTTATAGGTAGCTCTTTATAAGCAATATTTATGCATCTGAAAAATGTCGCCGATAACTTGCAGAGATAGTTTGCAGGAGACGTCGAAATTGTCTGCCAGCGACGTCGTGCATTTTCGCGCTAACGTTGAGGTTATCAAGGGGAGACGCAATTTTTAGGATAAATTGCGTTTATCTTCGAATCCAGCACGGTGACATATATTTTTTATTTGAGATTTGGAGAAAGCATGACAAAATGCAGTTAATGTAGAAAAATGTGAAAAATGACATTTTCAGAACTACCCTATTTCCATATTTTTAGGTTAAAAAATATGCCACTTTGACCATCTTGTCCGCAATGTCAAGCAAGGCTTGGATAATTATATAGTCATTCTTGTAGGGATTTATTTTTTTCCTTATTGTCAATGTCATTTATCACAGCTTCAAATTGAAACCAATCTTATTAATTTACGACGAAG